CTTTGGGCCTTTTGCGTAAAAGGCTGACTATGGCAATGCAATGCCACATGACCATTGTTTCAGTCATGCTGTCTTTGTTTAGTGCTATGATATTATGACAGCTAGTTCCTTATGTTCTTGGGGAACAATGGGACAATAACTTCCAGCCTGACAGTATTTCAGTTAGTTTCTCTGCTTTTATTAACAAGCATATAATATTAATTGGCAAAACACTGGATACAAGCTTCACTATCATAAAATCAAAACATTAAGCAATAATCCCAAAAGGCTTATTCAGACAAAACTAGCCACCAATAGTACAAAAATTACACAGCAACACAAAGCATAAAAAATTGTAAACTTTCAAATGAAGCTAAGCCAAAAATATGGTTTTACACCGTGACAGTTCTAGAATCTTTATTATGCCACATATGAGGATAAAGGCTTAGTGGTTGCACTGGCTTATTGTCCCTTAACTGTAAAATAATCTTGTTGCAGAATGAAATCACAAACTTTCCCTTTGTCCAGATAAGCCACTTGGATTCAAGATTCCATTAAACCAATGCTTTGAGTTTCAAATAAAAATTAAAAAAAAAAAAAGAAAAAAGGAACATCAGTATTCAAAAATCAGGGATCCTTCCTTCAGCCACGCCTAACCATTCGCATGAATGATCCCACTGGGTTTTGTGGAACCATTCAGGTTATTAGCAAAGTTACCAATATAAGTGTTCATAGAATTGGACATTTAGTTCCTGCCCTACTACTAGGATGTGGACAGGTCATTGTGGCTTTGACAGATTTCCAAGAAGCCCTAAGGATGATCAAACATGGATCAAATGGCAGGCCCAGAGCTTTAATTTGTATATAAATAAACCAAAACTCCACAGTAAAACATTCCTGTTGACTTGCCACAAGATGCAAGTTCCTAGAAAGTATTTGTACTGATCGCAAGATTTGATTAAAGCAGAGACTGAAGCATTGTTCCATGTTCCTTAATGTTCTCTCTGCAACTTTTTACTTCAACAACAGCTCTCAAGACCTTAGTTACAGTTAATTATATCTTATGTAGAGATTCTAGTGTATGGGACAATTTTTTGCCCTGTTATCAACCTTAGGCAGACTAACTGAACTGTAGGTTGCATTGACATTTCCAATGAAACATCCAAACTGAAGTGACTACCTGAGGAAATACAGAAACTTTATTTTTCTGTACAGTCAAGCATTCTGTACAAAATGCATTTTAAGTACTTATTAAGATTCATCTCGCTGATGTACAGACTGGTTGGCTTTTTCCTATTATATGTAGCTCAATGCTAAGATACATAATGCTGTAAAATAGGCTAGTTGTATGGTTATATTTATCATCCAGTAGAAAAAAACTCAATGAATCTCCTAGGACTAACTATGTTGTTATAAAGACAGTAAGAGCCAGATAAGCATTCAAAGGCTCATAGCCTATTGGAAAAAAATAGCACCATCATAGTTGTAGTCTGATATTTGTTTATGGTCCCATATCCCCAGAGGTGATAGTGTTGTGTATACTATTGCACAACCAATAAAAACAAATATTCCCAGGTTTGATGGTACACAAATATACCAGACATAAAAATGGCACAAAACATTTTCAGATAGGCTGCAAGTCTTGCCAATTGCTTCCACAATTCACATTAAGGTTTCTTGCAAGATCATTTATTTTAAAATATTGCTGACAGACAGTTCTTGTACTTACACAAATTTAAATCCCACACTTCACTCTTAAAATAAAAAAGAACAAATCAAAAAACAATGCCCCCAAGTAATAGCCCCAAAATAAAACCCCATTTGAACAAGTGAGAAAAGCCATCTACATTCCTTTTAAATTTAATGGTAAGTAGATGCTACATTTACAATTTAAACATATGCCTAATAAATGCGTGTTTCAAGCCTATTGCACAAAAGCATAAGTAATGCTCTTTATCCATACAAAACAAAAACATACAAATAAAAGCTACTCAAACTCAATGTAAAAGGAAGAAGCTTGTAAAAACATCTTACAATTTCATTTTATATGCCCGTAAATAAAGCTGGACCACTGAAACTAAAAATACTTGATGGTAAAATAAGACAGAAGGCTTAAAATAGAATAAATAATTTTATAAAGTTAAAATTTAAAACCCCAAATCTTATTTAAATTCAATATTATATATTCTATCTGAATTTCCTATTTTTCATGAAACTATATTTAATGAGACTCTGAGCCTGGGTAAGTCATCAGTCTCATTGGTGGTGAGGATAATGCAACAAGGTACTTCTTTACTGCAATTATTTACCAGCGTAAGCAATTGTGAAAACTACTTCACAGTAATGGCATCTTCACAAAAGCCAAAATAAACTAACACAATCTCACTAGGACTAAGAGATATCTACGCTGAGTCCAACTTTTAGTCCAACTTTGAACAGTATCAGGGTTACTTTACTGAGTATAATCTTGATATAAATTAACTATTTCTTAAGCTTCACAGAAGTGAGCAGACCTCCCTCTGACCTCAATTCAATTGCATTGTAGTCTTTTAGTAAGGCTAAAGGAAATAAACATATGGTCCTGACAGAGCCACACCCCGCCTGAGGGAAAAAAAGTTTCTGTAGCGAGTATGTTGTGACGTGATTTAGAAAAATAACTGGGTGGTTTTGTATGTGTTTTTGTTTTCTTTTTACTGGTGAGGTTTTATCAGATTAAACGCATTGCAAAAGCAGTTACACACAATCATGAGAAAAAAACCCCAGCTGTAGGTATTAATATTGGCTTGAATTTATGTATCCATCTAGGTAAAAACAGAGTTTTCAATATATTGATAGCACCATAACATATGCAAGTGATTCTAAAGATGGTAATAAACTTCTATGTTCTGTACTGTAGATTGTTATAGCAAGAGAAAGATTTGAAAGGCTTCTGAATTTGTGTGTTTGTAACTAATTTCTCAGTTGCACAAGTACACAGGGAAGTACTAAAATCCCAATGTACTTTAACAGCACTGCATCAATATCTAGTCGTACAAAAAGTTTCTGCAGTACACACATTCTGAGGTAGGCAGATCTCACACATACATATATGTATTTGTTTTTATGTATATATACATCCTGATTAAGGTGGTTAGTCAGAATGCTTTCTGGCAGCTTTCATTCTATTTCTACATCAGGTACAGCCAGTGCCTGTATACTCAGGATGCACAGAGGGTGGACACTCACAGCCCTGTTCGTACTCTCAGTGCCTCACCGGCTAAAGCCAGTCCCTTATTTACACTAGGACAGTAACAACCGCATAAACAGCTCCAGAAAGGCCCAGTATGTCAGTTTGTGTACACATCCATACCACCTGCATTCACTGTTTCATGAAAACATTATAAAAATGGTAGACACATGATCTCATTTGTTCTCTTCTGCCAGTTCAAGACAGAAAAAAAAAAGCTAAAATACATATATCTGAGTCCACAAACAGTAAGATAAAAACCAGAGCCAAGTTTGATTCCATTGCTCATATGCATACACACGCACAGCCCACACACAAACCCAGCCACCCAGCCCGGATGTGGAGCTCTGCCTAGCCCATTCAAATGCAGCTATCCTATACCCTCATCTGCAAGGACAGCAGCACTTTTCGGCCTTTGTGTGGCTCTCCTTTCCATCTCCACAGTTCAGTAGGCTCCCTTTCACTCTCTGCTCACATACTTTTTGATTTCCTTCCCATTTACATCTGTGACTAATTAAAAATGAGGAATCCTGTTTTCAAAGGTAAACACAAGTTGGAGCATCCCTTCCACAGCAGCAGAGCTGAGAAAAGAGGACTGAAGACTCGAAAGAAGGAAATTACGGGACACATGCTGAGGAACGTAGTGCTTTTAAAACTGAAGAAGAGGAAGAGGATTTAAAATGCTTGGATAAACCTCTCGCAGTGTCAGCTTCCTGTTATCGAGTAACAAGTACTACTTTCTAGCAGAAGAGGGAAAGGAGCACAGCTAGAGGAAGCAGGGCAGTTACAGGCAAACCTGTTTTCTTATCTAAAGACAATTTATCAAAAAATAATAGAGTTTAATAATAGGAATAGCAAATAGCATTTTCAGCTGACTGGAAAACTCTTCCAAAAATTAGAAGGTTAACTATTTCCAGCTGCCAATAATATGGCATAGCCTGTTTTCAGTGACTTGATACCTGTGCCAGACAAATACTCTCACAATCATACTATATATACTATACTGTACACAGCTTGCAGAAATCATGTTCAACTATTGTTTGTGAAAAGCCAACTATTTCAAAAAGCCTTACAAACAGTGCAGTGAACCCTGCTAAGTGCTATTGAGGGTGCATTCTACAGCATAGTTATACGTGTGTATAGATGCATGAACACATATATACATGCATGTATATTACCTTGCATCCATTAGGGCTGATGCAAGCAAAATTACCAGTTAAGGCCAGAAGGTGCTAAAATAATCTTGTCTGACACCACCCCCCAAGACAGCTCGGAATTGTGCTAAAGAAAATGCTATGGTTTCACAAGAAAACAAGTAAAGGAAATATAAAGCTGCTTATAATGATCTGAGGAATTTTTAATCAGTCAAGTGAAAGCTGTGCAGTATCATTCAAAGCTGCCCAAGAGCCAGTGTTTCAACAGCTAGTGAGAGCAAATTCTCTCTAAATTAAAAACTGATTTCTGCAAGCCACAACTACATAAGAAATGTTTATTTTTTAAAATGTTCACAAATCTAGCACTTTTGAGTATTTGTCATTATGTGGTGCAATGTATGCCACAGCAAAATATCAGGGCACATTAAAATCAACTGAAATGGTTTCTATTAATCTTACCAAATCAACATGCATGGGGGAGTATCAAAACTTTACTAAAAGTGAGGGAGAGCAATAACTGGGCAAAAATTACAAACTTATTCATTCCCCAGATTTTCAGAGGTTTTCAATGCAGCATAATAAATTATCACCAGTCACTACATCATTCGGCAGGTTCAATGCTCTATGGAACAACTTGAATGAAGCCAATGCAATCAGGCATACTATATAAGACAGTAACACTTTGCAAAAATATAGTTTTTAAAGATTCAGAATGTGAAAAGTAACTAAATACAACTTGGTGTTAAAAGCAACATTTTTAAAATCACCCCACAACATTCTAACTTATTTCTGTGTAACTGTAAGAGATAAATCAGGCTGAGCTACATGGGACTGTGAAGTGTTTTCAGTATCTGTAAACTTAGTGCTGGTAGTGTCTTGTTGAGTTGCAACTTCTTTCTTCCGTACAAAAAAAAGTATAAATATTTTCTGTCCAGAAATCTAGGTTAACACATCCCTAGAAGAAATATTCAGAAGGACAGTCCGCTATGAAAGCACTACAGTCTTCCAAAATTATTCAGCTGGTTTGTGTCATGTGATTAGTGATGCACTAAGAAGGTGCCAGATGATCGTCTCTGCAAAAAACTCTGTCCAGAAGGACAATAAAGTTCTCTTACAGCAAGTCCATTTTGGGTCTGTAATGTAGCAGTAGAGGTGCTTTCTGCAAGACAGAAATACCAGGTAAGTTAAGAAACAAAACCAGAACTAATCTGTTCAGTAGGCAAAACTTTTGCTTCATAAACTAAAGCTTAAATGAACTATCAGAGTAGATGCCTGACCTGTCAAAATTTCACCAAGACAAAGACAAGATGCAATTTCATCTGCTGAAGCTCAAACAAGAGATGAAGAATCCTTCCCCTTTTGTCTCAGGAGCTGATCACCTTAAGATCAGTTCTACCAGGTCTAACTTGTTTAACTTGGAAAACCCTTCACAGTAAGGGAAAAATGCAGATGTCCAGAAAGCAACATAAGAGCATGTGGTACTTCATATTTAACAGCTCTCACTTCATTCCTCTTCTGTGAATGTATCCATTGCTTTTTTACAAAGAGGTAAACTTCTAACATCCACAACATCCTACACCAAGGAGTTCTGTGTCTCATGTAAAGAACTGCTGCTTCTTGTTTGTTCTGGACCTCCCACCTCCCAGTTTCATTTTAAATCCCCCACCTTTTTCACCTGAGAAGGCAGATTACAGTTCCCTTTTCCACATGACTCACAATTGCACAGACTTCCATGATAAAAGTGAACAGTAGATTTGTACAGATGCACATCAATTTGATGTTCTTGTTTGGTTCCCTCCTCCACCTCCGAAATCCCTAGCATTTGCTTTGTATCCTTTCAGATTTACCTACATTGAACTTAAGGTGCTCATTAATCACCTGTCACTCAGAACTATAAAGGCTTGCTTCAATCCTTTGTCATCAACCTGTCTTCACTATCCTAAATAACCACAATGTTGTCAGTGCACTGTTACTGCACTACACATATCCCTTTCCAGGTCATTCAGGAATATCACACAAAACAGAGTCCAGTAGGATTCCACTCGTGACCTCTCTACATTTCAAAGACTGACCATTGACTTCTGTCCTCTGACTCTTATGCAAGTCAATTATTTTTCTATACAAAGACAGAAAAATGCTTCCTTACTCCCACCTGCACATCTTCTAGATAGAACCACTTGATGGCTTTGGATTCGTATCTCAGCATACACTGTGTAGGTTGTCCATTATGAATACTAACTCCTAGTTCAAATATCCCCAAATACACACACACTGATTCTGTAGGTGTGACTTGCCTCCTAAGTGTTCAATTTTGCAATTCATTCTTACACTCATTTCACTTGAGTTGCCATTATTAATGTGATAATTAATACTCAGAATGAATGCCCCACTATTTACTATTCAGTTTCAAGGAAGTTGTTTAAAGAAACCACAATAAGCAAGCCAAAGATGTACTCAGACATTTTTAGCTAGCCTTGTTTATGCCTAAACGCTGCTAGAAGTTTCCATAACTAAGGCAATCTGCAATTGCCAAGTATTGCAATTACTGCCTCTCCTTTAGAAGTAAAACAGCCTTCTTGAGCTACAGAAAAGAAATGTGTTGAAAATTTCTGCCTTTTCTGCATCACAATCAATTTCCCCACCTACATGGATTAAAACCAGTTTTAGATGAAATAGGTAAAAATAATACTTTCTTGTGGATTCCACTTCCTTTGCCAGACTTGGTAACAGTTTGACAGTTGATGCAGTGTTGTCTTTTCCCTTACAATTGATACTTAATTCCCCTTTCCTTCATTTTTTGGAAACAAAATTAATACTTGGTGTTTGAGGATGCTGCATTAGATATTTATTAAAGTATCTTTTTATCGAGTTTGCAGTTACTGGAGTACAGTTCCAAATGATGCCTATTTTATAAACATTTTATTTGGCCACTTCATGATTTACTTGGAATCACTGTGTCATACCTTAAATCTCCATCTAGTAACAACTACAAACTTGAGTGTGTGGTCCTTGCCAAGAATCTCTTCATTGCATAATATGTCCAGCTGACAAAACAAAGATGACAGTTAATTCATTGGGACACAGTACATGAAGCAACATATTTCAGATAACACTACAAATGTTTGACAAGAATTTTTTTCTCTGAAGACACTGGAATTGTTCATCTTGCAACTGTTCTGCAGACAAAAATAGTACCAGGAAAGAAAACAGAACATCTTTTCTCAACAAAAAGTGCTGAAAGACTATGTCTGTGCCTACCTAGGAAATACTACGTGAACTGGACTTGACTATTTGATTTAGCTTCCCAAGCAGTACTAATGCCCTTTCCTGAAAGCTTTACATGCTCTTAAAAAGGCCAAATAAAATGATCAAGGAGACAGAAGTCACAAGTCTCAAAGACAGCTCTGTTGTTTAACATACTATAAAAATTTTTTACCTAACACCAGCCAGGTGGCTTTCTGCTACAAGGATACATTAAAAAAAAAACCAACAAAACCAACTGTCTGCCACCCCCCTCATATACTGTATTTATAGGGTTTCTGCAGATACTCCATAGCTATTTTTACTTTTCTATCTCAGTGTTGAAAGTTCCTGATATTAGAAACACTGAGGGTATAAACATAAAAACGTGAGGATCATATGACTACTAATCAGCTGAACTACAATAGCTGAACACGAACTAAAACAGGAACATGCATGAAAACAGTAAGTTCCACCAAGGTGGCTTACGTTAACACCACTTTACCACACAATCCAGAAAGGGATGAACGTGCATGCAGTCCACTGAAATGGCTTATGTAATTGGCAATAACTCAAACCTGCAATAGTCTACAGCAATCAACCAAGTACCCACAAGCTTAAATCCTTCTACTATGTACCCATTACTTGGTACTGGTACACTGATTACACCACAATTTATGTACTCTTTAAGAAGGTAGGGAGAGATGGCAAAGGAATAAACAGTACTCCTGAAAGTTTATTCCTTCAGTAAAAGCCAAGCAGGTTGTTAAACCACAGACTGGCACAGTGGAATGGAGGGCTTAAAAACACACACACACACACAAAAAATCCCCTTTTGAACAGTGATGGTAGCTATGTCGCTGCTGGGCTACAGCCAGGAGTCAACCACTTCCAAGCCAGCTGAGGACAAGATAGGAGATACAGTTTTGTTTCAGGAAGACTAGCAGAGTTTGGGGACATACTCCACCCATAAGACAGTGTTGGTTTGAAGCATACAGAAGCTAGGAAGGAATAGTGATACAGATGCAAAATTGACTGTTGAAAAGTTTGAGCAGAAAGGTGTTGACACATTGGACTGGAAAGCAGATGATTTGATTTGAATGGTAAGTCTTAATGAAATTCAGTGAATCAGTGACATTACGCGGCGTTGAGATGTCAAGCTGAGATCAATTGAGATGTCTAGAGACTGTGACCAAGACCCAGCAAAGTGGTAAACAGAGGCTGTATTCATGTTTGCCACTGTTAATTTCAAATCTGAACTAGGAGAAGTGCAAAGTTCCTTTCTTTCTGTACCTTTCACCATAAGTTCTTCCCATGATTCTAAGTATTCCCTGCAAAGGAAGGGAAAATAGGTATCTGATAACACTCTGCTCGTGGGAGGCAGCAACTTTGGGCTTCACTGAGAGCACAGAAAAGAACAAAATATTTGTGCTGCTTTCTCTTAAGCTGGACTTCAGTAGTGTTGAAGTGTTTGTTAATCTCTGTCCCCTGCACTGAGTGTGAAATATGTGAAAGGTGTGGTGTGCCTGACTACAAGCTGTCAAACAAAGCATGTTGCCAGAGTCCATTTCAACACATGGAAGCACATAACCAAGCTCTTTAGCTCAACTATTTATACATTGACGTGAAAAGACACACTGCAAACTAAGTGGCAAGACCTGCATAGACCCAAGAAAAGACAAGAAAATGGCTACATAACATATAATTCAAGAAATGGTGTATGCTTCTGTTTTCTGAAAATAAAATCAGACTAAAAGACATTCCTTTGGAAAGGAACAATCCCACAGTTTTCATAAGGTTTTTATATCTGCAAAATAATTTTAAAAAATTAAAATATTACCTCATTAAAAGAAGAAAGGTTAAGTTTTTTGGCAATGAACTTCTTTAGATGCAAGACTGTTGCTTGTGCTGAGCAGCGAATCCATTTCCGTTTCAATCCACGCAATTTGCTGCTATTGCATTCCAAGCAGATGCTTACCTTCAGGAAAAAGCAAACAGTCAGGGTTGTCTGGAACAATTTTCTGCAGTCCTCATTATGTATGCCATATGCAGTTTTTATTAATACAACAAAGTGAAAAAGTACGGTACTAGTTTTCCTTAAACTGAAATGCTTTTAGTTGTATTAAAGAAAACATTTTCTAACATCTTGTCAGTTTACTGATGAGCACTACTGCAACCAAAATGAATCAAGACAAAAAAGTTCAAGAAAGAATTTTTGATGTTGGAACAGGGCTGCTCCAGTCCAAATTCATTGGCAGCCAATAGCTCAAGAGGACCCTATGTCAAAAGTGACAGTAAGATAAAGAGTAAGAACACCCCTGCCAATTTTTAATGATTGCTTCTAATGTAACTTTTTGCTTTTAATGCAACTGCTAAATCCAGTTTAAAACGGAATTTTAACATGTTTAAAAGAGAATTTAAAGTTTAAAAAGAATGGATAAAAATGACATAACAAATTTTTAAAATTCTAAAGATTATCCCCCCAGAAAGTCTCTCTATCTTCTATGTTTCAGTTCTCACTTCTTTTCTCATCCAGCTATTCATTATTTAGTCGAAGCTTTTTGTGATGATTTACTTTATGGACTAAGAGGATCTAGTACTAGGTGCAATCCCTTTGAAATTCCCTTACATTATAATTGAAAACAAAATTAATCCAAATTTAATTTACTCTGGACACACATAACAGGAAAACACGAAAGGCATGGCTTGATTATCCCAAACAGAGATATCACTTTCAGACATGTTTTGTGTTTAAAACTTAAGGTGAACTTCCCATCTTTCATACTATTTTTATCGTACAGGGCTAACACTGTCTCAGTATTAGAGGTTTAAAACAAAGTAAATAGTAAGTTAGTAAAAGTGCAAAAGGTTTTATTCATAATTATTGGTACATGTTCAGCCTACTGTGTCACAATAATACTGGGATACACTGCTTCAGGAAGGGGACCCAAATAACCTGAATTTGTTTTGAAAACAAATAAATACTTTGGAAACTCATCAACAAACAGTCAGAACTATCAAATCTTAATGCAAATGTCTTTAACATATTTTCCATTCCTGCTAAAAGCCCAAGATGAAAGTCATGCTTACACAAAAGCATTGGGCAACACTGCATCTTGTTTGTATCAGAGGACAGAAAATCTAGCTTGAAATAGTTCCTTTTCTTCTCTGTTAGCTTACCAAAGTACTAAAGCTAAAATACAAGGTAAAACTAAAACATGCCCTATGAGCTCACCTGTTCGTCACTTCGGTGGTAGTCGTTATCTTCTTCCTGTTTTTCCTCAGAAGTTTCTTTGTTTGAATTTTCATCTGCTTTAGTTTCACCTTGGATAAGAAACCAGATATATGGGATAACACTCAGCACCAACTTGTAATGCTAATGTGATTAAAACAGCACAGCTCGGGACTGCAATATAGAATAAAGTTTGCTTTCCCCCAATTGTGCTTATCTGCTTAGGCAACACTAGCTGCCAACAGCCCCACGCACGAAAAAGGAATACATACAGAGCACAACCTTTGGTTCAACTGTTAGCAGTGCAGAAGCTGGGCAATTTCAGAGAGTCCCCATGTAGGCACTACAATGGAGATCTCCTTCACCAAGAGTAATATGCTATGACCAGCTAAAAAAAAAAAAAGATTCTGTGCACAAATAAGGCACAAAGCAACAATCCTACACTCACTGTATTGTGCAGTGTTATGAAACAATTGTGACTGTAATAAGCCAACAAGGCACATACCTCCAACAGGTCTGTTCATCAATTTACTAGCCGTCACCCGCCCAAGACAGAATAAATAAAGGACCATTTACCATTTCGATGGGAATCTAGGTGCTGTTTTGTAGAACATGTCTCCCCTTTGATGTCCCCTGGAACTTCCATGCCCAGTTTGTGATAAAACTCCCTTTGCTTTTTCATTTCCGCTGTTTAAAATTGTAAATATTAATCCCTGTAATAAAGTTCTAATGCAATATTTATGAAGTTATTCCAAATCCCTTCCCTCTGAAGTGAAACAGCCTTGCCAACAAGTAATGGTATTGCCAATATTTACTACTTTTTTTATCTTAGGTATTGCATCAAGTCATGCCTGTAGTATTCTAACTCTGAAAAATACAAAGTCATCTGTATAGATACTATTATAGCATTCCTATTACAATGAGATAGTATTTAAAATACTATACCTTATTTTAAATCCCCTCCACAATATTTCAGTCAAACCATTGTTTTTGAATATTTATTTATAGTTCTGAGTTTCAATATGCTAGAAGTAATTTTAAAATAATCTATTTAATCTTACTGATGTTTGAGAATGTTCTGGTTTTGCAGCTTATATGGATTAAAATTATGTATTTAAATGAAAGTTGTAACATACATTAAGACAAAAAACTACTGAGCAGTTACTATAAAGTACTTCTTTAGTTGAACAGATTCAGTCTCAAAGAAGATTATGAAAACACAAATTGAAAGTTACCTGCTAGGAAAGGACTCATACAGTAGCAGAAACTTCACTGAAACTAAAAGCTGTTCTGCATTACATTCTACCTCTGAGAATTCTAGAAAGCTGGCACAACAGGTTTAAGTACACAGTTTAACAAGAACAAATGAGAGTTACAGTGTGCCAACATTCAAAAGCTGAACCACTATCCTGCTTTACATAATACTACTTTTTGAAGAAATATCCCATTTTTCCTCCCACCACCACCTCCCCCAATTGCTGCTCCTACATGTATAAAATTAAATTAATCACTAGAAATGACACAAATGAAGGAATACAGTTTTCCATTGTATTTTTCCTCAGTTCCTGCCCCTGCATTTTCATCACCTGAAACTTTTTTTTAAGTGTTAAAGAAATATGCCCAAAACAACCTCTAAAAAAGGTCTTACCACAACTTACCTTCTTGGAGGCCTGGCACAAGTTTATAAACAATGTCTTGCATTGTTCTGTCATGACTAGCAAGAAAAAAAACAAAATCAAAAGTTTAAGTTAACCATCTTGATTCAAAACATTTAGCTTAAAAAAGTTCCAGTACTAAATTGATGTAAAATCTCTAAATTCACCTAAGAAGAATTTCAATCCTTGAACCAGCATTTGTATCGAACAAGAGAGGATAGTAACATGAAACAAATTATGAAAAAGTACAGGCTGAGACAGAAACCCAACAGAAGTTTGAGGAAAAATAGTCTTTGACACGTGGAAGATGACACCCCATGGAACAGGGCCTCTTGCATCAAGGCAAGTATGTCACTAATAAACTCAAAATTCTTTGCCAACTTTGAGATAAACTCATTTTTAATACAAAAGAATCAAGGATAGTCTGTTTCCTACCCCTACAGACTCATCTTTAACATTTCTAGATTACTTAGTTATCTTTACTAGGCTTTTCCAAAAATGCAAGAAAACAGCTCAGAGAAAAAGACCACAACAATAAAATTTTACTTTGCTCTTAAAAGCCAATATTTTAACTGTGGGCAATATTATGTAGCTCAGAACCCTGTATAGATAGTGTGGCTCAAATAAGAGAAAGGTAATAATCCCACTGGAACTGGAAGCCAGCAGGACTGGTTAAGATTCTAAAATTTAATTCCCAGCTCACCTAGACAAAATTCTGTTTTAGCCTAAAGTAAGTCACTGTCTGAAAGAAATAAAATATTACCCTAAATTCCAATTGCTAAATAAAATCAGAAACATTTCAAATGTCTGTCTCAGCCGCTGGAAGGTCATTACCCCAATAGAACTTGGAATAACAAATCCTGTATCTAACTTAAATTTAAGAGGCTTATAAGAGTAGTCTCAAGCTTCTCATCACCCGATGTGAGCACTTCACAGCAGTGGAGACCAGTGAACAAGTACAGAAATGGTGACAAATCAAGAGATTTACAATTGACCATTACAATCTTTTAAGTGGCTGTCCTGGTTTTGGCTGGGATAGAGTTAATTTTCTTCCTAGTAGCTGGCATAGTGCTGTGTTTTGGATTTAGCATGAGAATAGCATGGATAACACACTGATGTTTTAGTTGTTGGTAAGCAGGCTTCCATTAGTCAAGGACTTTTCAGATTCTCATGCCCTGCCAGCTGGCAGGGGGCACAGCCAGGACAGCTGACCCAAACTGGCCAAAGGGATATTCCATACCATATGATTTCATGCTCAGTATATAAACTGTGGAGAGTTGGCCAGGGGGGAACCATTGCTTGGCAGGTGGTGAGCAATTGCATCATGCATCACTTGCTTTGTATATTACTATGACTACTATTACTATTTTACTTTATTTCAATTATTAAACTGTTCTTATGTCAACCCACAGGTTTTCTCACTTCTACTCTTCTGATTCCCCCATCCCACGGCAGGGGGAGGGAGTGAGAAAGTGGCTGTGTGGTGCTTAGTTGCTGGCTAAGGTTAAACCACAACAGTAGCACTACAAGAAGAGTCAAAATATCATTAATTCAAAAATTAATGTCATTTCAACCAGTAGCAATCCCATTTGCATGGGCTGGGATTTTCAAGTGTCACATATGGATTGCAGGAACATCTCCAAAAATATTCCAACATGAATGATGAGTAAATCATCCATCACTATTAGATCAGAGGTGAGGATTTAACAGCATTCAGAAATGTGAAACAGGAGACAAATTTTAGTTTACCTATTTTCCAGATAAAGGGAGATGAACAGGAGTGCCAATCTACATTCTAAGACATATTGTGAAACTCCTTAGTGTCAATTCTTTATTAAAAAAAAAATATATATATCTCTCTCCAAAAGTAGGCTGGGCAAAGGCTGTTTCAGTCTTGAAGGGGCAGTATTTTATACCTAGTTCAGGCAAAATACTTCCTTTGAAGTGTATTCAATGACCAAAACCAAGTAGGACATTTCTAGCTGTTCTCAGTTTGATGCTGTTACCTGGCCCCTTTTGACACAGAAAACAAGTTTCTGAACCAAGCCACTGGCGTATTCCTGTAGCTTTACAGAAGACAAACATGCTGTCTTGAGTGTCATTTATTTGTTCTTGCCTATTGGCATCTACTTGTCCCTTCAAAGCAAACACTCATAAAGGGTATTACCAGTGTATGATATGACATATTATCAGTGTACACTATTATTCTTCAAATGGAGAAATGGCATAACTAGTTTCAGGCTCCTGAATCAGGATCAGCTTGAGAAATGTAAGTATGTATAAAACATCAACAGTTTTCTTTAAAAGTGAAGAGAAATCAGACTATTTTTTTTATAAGCATTGCTTCAGAAGTTGTTATAGAACTGAGAAAGGCACATTGAAAACTGCCACAAACTAAACCAAACTCCTTATAAAAGTAGGCAAAACACTACTTGATATGCAACAGCTAGTGCAAACACACTGTCACAACAGATTTTCATCAGCAAAAGTTACTACAGTTCAGTAAAATGAAAGGGAAGCACTGAAGGAAAAGAAAGCGAATGTCTTTTCTGAAAACAAAAGAAAAAAACCTGAAAATACTTAGTAAAAAGAGGAAACCAATGAACAATACCACATTTGTTTTAGGTCAGAAAGTGAGAGCACTCTGTGTAGGGATCAAAACAGAACGAAGGGCAAATTGTTCCATTCCAGAGATTAAAGCCACCGGTCTAATATTTTTGCTGCCATATTCTTACCTGTTCCTATGAACGAAACAGACCTTTGAAAGATTAACTGAACAATAAAGCTGACAATTATTTCTCTCATTACTCTATCAGGCACTGAAAAGCACTGTTCAAATGAGACTAATTATTTTGAGTATTTTGTAAAAGTATAATTTCTACAACTGTTTCATTTATGTAATTTTTACTACACAAGCATACAAAATGAAGAATGATTAAATCCCATTAAAACTCACCAGAAATTAAACAGTAAAGTGCATATTTTGCTTGCTTTTAAGTCTGGAAGAAGCTAACAGATGTCAAGGAGTTGCAAATTCATAGCATCACATACCTCCTCAAACACCTTCAACCTTCCTTTGTTTAACATGCCGATAAGCAAGTAAGAAAATTTAGGAAAAAGCTGTGCTGTATTGAAGAGGCTGAAACAGCCTAGAGTGAAGCTAGTTGCACTTTTGCTTTCATACTTACCCAATATACTGTAACGGGTGGCTCTGATGTATAACAATTCTACAGGTTGGACAGGTGTTGTTTTCCTCCAAATATTTCACTAGGCAGCTTCTACAGACTGATAACGAGGACATTCATAATTAAAAAGAAATTAAAAGAAGCATAATGAAAAAAAAAAGGTTGTTTTCATACAGTCACAGAAATGCACCTTACTGAAATTTACACAAAATTCATTTTTTATGTCATGTAAGCATGATGTCTAATCATGCAGAATACAGTTTCCAATAACTTTCATTAATGTTCTTGATACAAGGAAGTGATGCACTGGAATTAAAGCATCTGTACCTAGCCAGTCTTCCTAATAAAGCATGCAACACACAGTCCCACTCCAGAATTTACTAGAGCAGCAGTTTCTAGCAGGTCAACATCATACCATTTGCACCATTCAGTTGCACAGATGATATTACAGGAATTGTATGCCAATAAGATACTAAACCTATTTGCTTTAACCATGGCCACATACAGAAATGAAGCATACAGTGGCAATCAACCCAACACAAAAAAATTATTCCAAAGTTGGATATTTTTTAAAAGAACAGACAACTTTCAAAAAGTGGATATCCAGGTGCTATTTTAATTCTAACTTTCAGAGGGTACACTACAGTTAAACTTCCACCAGAAAAAAAATTACATGAAATGTAGGGA